AGCACTGGGAGGAGAAATGGTTTAGAATACAAAGTTAGCTACAAGCAAATGCACCACCATGAGGTCCTCAAATAAAACTTAGATAAAATCATAACATAGCTGCACAGGCAAATTGCAGGAAAATATGATGAGGTTGATTCCTGGCTACTACAGGGTTCAGGAATTTGAGTTTCAGGAATTTGAGTGCCTCTACTAGAGTTGAACTCTTAAACCAGCCCTTGGGATCACAAAATGAAGCACGGCAGACTCAAACAGATGTAAGACTAGTACTACACTGCAGAGAATAAGCTACCTGCCATATAGATGAAACAAGGGAAAAAGAAAGTTGAGGTTCAGTGTAATTGTACAGGATTTGTCAGGTTCGCCTGTAAGTATATTGGGGCTAGATCATCAGCTGCGCTGATTGACAGCATTCACTGAAGATAAAAGCATTGTATTAGTCCACAGCAACCGAATACATGGTTCTGCAGACTACTAGCTGACACATGACTTGCACTGACATTGTATTTAACGTGGTGCTGAAGAACGCCTCGGCAACTACAGTTGTACGCTCACTCAGCACCAGCAACGTATGGACGAGCCAGCACAGCGCCCTGCCATACCGATCCGTGCTGGCTTTACGTCTCTCTGCATAGAGGCACATATTGCTTTAGCACTGAATTTTTACTTCTGCCAAACCACCTGATTCCTCTCTAATAGTCAATTATAATAGAGTATTAAAGTGCATTTGTACAGAAGACCACACTGTATCACAGGAAAGCATGGGCAACTAAGAAAAAGCTTCTGCTACTCTAATTAAAGAATAACTGCATGCACCTCTACCAACAAGCTAGCTTTTACTCACAGTACTAGCAAGAAAAATGAGTTTATCTGCTTTAGTGGTAAAATGTATTTTTCCACTTGCTTCATCTATGGAATCATCTCTTGGACTTTTCTTGGCCTATAAAGGCCAAAACACAAGTGATGTGGTGGATAGTAGCAGAGGCACTTTTTCATGTCAGTCAGATTAGAGTTAAATCCCTGTTGCATTTGGGAAGGAATTTGATAGAGAACATGCACCTCAGAGAAAAGGCAACGTGATTTCTAGCAGCCAGTTTTGATGGAGCAATCCCAGTTTCTTGCCACACCTGTTTTCTCATCACCGGGCAGCACGACTGAAAGAAAAACTTGGAGCGAAAACCACAAACTAACGTGTGCATCTTTGATTCGCATACTCCAATTGCTGTGATGAGGAGAGAGTTGATGCCTTCTTCCCCCCTCCTCACAGTCTGAAAAAAAGATAATAGGACAAACACTGTATTATTTTTAAGAGAAGATGTCAAGATGAAAAAACGGAAATGTCAAAAAAGAGGCTGATATACGGCATTACTTAAGGACTGTTTTGTTGAGAAAAACTGACCAAATGATTTACGAAAGGCTTTTAACAGGGCAGTCTTTGGATTACAGTGAAGATGAAAAATAAATGAAAATCTATTTCAAGTTTACTTTAGCCTAGTCATTTGACAGATGAGGGCAAAACCTGGCAAGAACACAAGTTTTAATCTTCAGATGTAGTGACTTTATTTGCAGTTTTGCGGATTAGAAGTTTTCTCTGTGCAAAATAAGAGCTATCCTTTTTCAGACGTTTCCTGTCGAAACTACTTTTTCTACCTGAAGCGCCCACGAGAGGCACGCGAGTAAAAAGACGAAAGGACCGACGCTTCCCCTCACGGCACAAATCACCACGTACGGAGATTGTCCCAAGCGCGTTGCAGCCGGCGTGTCCACCGCCTTCCCTTCCTAATTCTTCTTCCAAGCCTCCCTCCCGAAACCCATCCCTCCTAATTAATTACTGGGTTAACCAGCCTAGTATCAAGACCGCTCATGGCTGGAGGTGGATCTTGGAGCATGGACTTGTTCTCAGTGTGCACAGCCTGGCACATCTCTGCCTGGCCAGATGGGTCCCCCATCTGCTCCTCTTTGAAGGAGAACTTCCTGGAATTAGGGTTTTCCTCTTAACCTTTGTTTGTACGATTCCTTTGCTTCCTATTTTCATTCAGGTTTTTTTTTTTTTTCCCTTTTCACCAAAATCGCCTGAAACGGGTCAGAGGCAGATTTAAAAGCCAAAGAGACAGCTCTGCACAGTTTTAGAGCACACCTGGCATGAAGTTAGCACTGCTCTGCACAAAGGCTGCTAAACTGGAGCTCCATCAGTATGGCAAAGGGCTACTTTGGGGTAGAGTAGTAATAGAGCAGAAATTATTTCTGGTATATAGGCTACAGAGAGCCTAGCACCATCAAACCAAACTGCCAGGAGTCAAAGGTAGCTTTCTGATGTTTGCTCAAGCTATTAGGGCATGCTATAATATTTTTCAGTATAGAATTTATAGATCGGGAGAAGCAATTGATCTTTTTGAGACTAGTAAAAACTCAAGATGGAAAACGGAGAACTGATATCTAATTTTATGAAAATCTGCCACAGTTCTATATTTATTATAAGCCTATCACAGCACATCCTGCTCAAAGACTTACAGAAAATGTGTTGCTAACTACCAAGGAATTATTGATTTTTTAATTTTTTCCCCTCATAGCGCTATTGCTTGGCTGTGGTAGAACCAATAACTTGGGGGGGGGTGAGGAGAGAGAGAGAGAGGGAAAAAATAATCAATATTACTATTATCAACGGTTGACTACAGTTTACAGCAGCAATAATCTCATTTAAAATAGCTTGCAGAAGTACCAGTTGCCATCTATGTAAAGTGTTACTGTTTTGGTCAAATCATTAAATGCTGATAGTACTTGATGTTTTGATGACTTTTTTGTTGTTGTTGTTAGATTAAGTTTTGGTGACCATCAGTATTGTCTAAACTTCAGATCTGAACCATGTTTGCTGTTGGCGTTACCTTTTTGTTACTAATAAGAGTGATTTGTTCCCCTCATTAAAAACAACTAATTTTTAGCATCCCATGCCGTTTTGCACATTGTATTTTAGTTCAGTATTTAGATGTGCCCCCGGTCACTAAGGTCTGCACCTCCTCCACTAATGCCTTAAGTTACATGACATCATTCGTTTTCCCCCCACACCTTCTCCCCAGAGAGGTAGTGTCTGCAGGGTAATGCTTTCTCTCCACACAGTTTTCCGAGCATTTTTCCAATGTTGGACTGGGAAAGCATAGTTCTGAGATGCTTCCTAGTTCCTATACCACCTTCGGCTGGTCTTCAGCAGAGCTGCAGCTCCAGAGCACAGCACAGCTCTGCTCAGAGCGAGCAAAGCTTTACTCTGCCAGAAGAGAAACACCGCTGGTTACAGCTACCTTAGCTTTTCGATTTGGTGCGATAGGAGCATTGTGATGCACTTTACCCAGTTTTCTCCATTTTCCACGCACACACTAGATTATTCACAGACCAGTTTTGGCACTCACAAAATAGATTAACTTCAGAGAAAAACTACCCGTACGTTCTGCAGGAGCTGCGCACAAAATACAAGCAGCACCTAACGAAGGCACAGGAATCCAAACCATCGGCTGACCTTCAAGACAGCTTTGAGCAACATGTACGGGGACATTTTGTTTAAGGGAACAGACTAAGTCTAGTCTGAAATAAAAGCCCCAGCTATCTACAATACAGATGTAGGGGCATCAACATTAGCTTCTCTGATCTACTGATCCACTCCTTATATATCTAATGACTTGCAAATGTAGATGTAACCATTCAGAGCTTTAGGCCTTCTTCTGCATGCCTGGGAGAAAGTGCCTCCAGCGTGAATTTGATTGACAAGTCTACAGCATCTTGGAGATACCTTTAGGTTTTAACTTGTTTTGAAAGCTCCTTCTGAAGGCCACAGACATACAGTCTGTGAGTGTTGAATACACACAGAAAAGATAGTTATTGGCCTTCTAAAATGCACTGGGTGTTTCCATAAATGTGAATTTATAGCTGAATGGGTTTACATAAATATTTATGTCATAGTTTCAAGACTATGAATAAACTTTAATAAATTATCTGGTTATGAAGAGGATTAGTTCTGTGGTTATTAGTAGACTGAAATCACAAAAGCAGTAGTTTTAATGTTAACATAATATTCAAAACTTTCAAAACAAAGTTTTTCAAACTTTTTTTTTCCAAAACAAAGGGAACAGAAGCCAGTTTGCAAATTTTCTTTGTAATAGAACGTAGCGTTAATGTCTTTGGTGATGTTGTAAGCTACCATTAAATAGTTCATAAAACATGCATGTAATGATAAATATTAAACTTTGCATCCTAAAACATGCTATATGTACCTTTTCTCCAAACACTGGGAGAAGTGCTGACGAGAGAAGCCAGTCATTTGTTGGAAATCTCACAAGTGGAACTAATTAGCTGTAGAAGAAGCTGTCACTCTTGCCATCCCCCTGCTCACATCAGAAGGCTACCCTGGCCTGCCAATCTAACTGTTTAGCTTATGCTATTTTTACCTTTCCATCTTTTCCTGATATTGACTTAAAGCCCATAATTTGTTACACCTGGAATTGCATCTGTTAAATTATGAGTCTAAGAAACATGCCAAGGTCCACCCACGTAGAACCTATCACTTGTACAGAAAGAATTTCAAAATCTTGCAAGTTAACATTAAAATACATTCTAGATGCAGTTTTTCCAAGTAGATGGGTCAGACAACTGTCAGTCACGTTTGTGGAAGTAAGGGTTAACAAGAAGTTGTACTGTAGCATCTTTGCTTATGTTACCTACAAGCTAAAGGCAATATAGAATATTACCACAGGAATTTTTTTTCTAGAACAATACACAAAACACTAATCAAACTGCATTTATGATATAACCTCAATAAAAATGTTAATAATGCTCTTTCATATATCACAGCTGTCAAGAGAGAAAGCGATGGTTCATATTACATTTGAGACGTACAGTGTTGAGTTGTATAGAATAAGCGTATACAGTATGTGTCAGTCACGGTTTGATTATTAGTAGCTTTTAATGATTTAAAAATTAGAAATCTTAACTTGTCCATCTCTCATCTTTTTAAGGAGCATTATCCTGAATCCAGCTTATTTCCGGAACCACCTGCGCCAAGCTGCTGCGTTTCGGTGTTTGGAGAGATACTCTGAAGCTGCAAGGTACTCTGGTGCTCATGGATTTCTAATGGTTTCTCTATAGCGCTTTCATTCCAGCTCTCAGTAGTAAGGATATCATCTTATATCCAGGCTTTTCCAAAATCAGTGGGAGCTTTGCGTTGGCTTTGTGTATATGATCTCACATGCAGCAGAGCTCCAATTCTCCCAGTTGGCGTAACATGAATAATCCCAATTACGTCCCTAGTTGCAGTTAGACTAATGTGCGTAGGAGCATTTACTCATTCTTGGCTACAGGGGTGAGCCCTGATCAGGTCCCAGGGCCATGCTGGGGCAAAAGCTACGTGCACACAAACATCTTCCACTCCCTGGTTTCCCCATAACCCTGGGCAGAGGCTCAGGTGTGCTCCGAGTCTATGGAAGGGGGGGGGGGGGGGAAAAAAAAAAAAAAAAAAAAAAAAAAAAAAAAAAATAAAAAA